GAAGGAGTGAGGGAGGCTAAGAGTGCCCTGCAGACCCCTCTGGCCTGGGTCCCACCGGGCCGTCTGTGATTCCTGGCACAGCTCAGTCCTCTCCATATGGCAGTCTCCGGAGGATGGTGGCTGCGCCTGGGAGACCTGAGACTGCTTCCTCCGCCTGGGGAGGGGGAGAAAGCAAAGCTGAGTGGGTAATTATAGACAGGCTGCGCCAGGCCAGCCCAATCCAGTTCCCTCTATTCCCAGCATGGGCTCAGAGCCGAAACAGAGGCAGCTTGGAGGAGGTCCGTGGGGGAGGGACAGTCAGCTGTTGTGTGCTGCCACCCAGGCTTCAGAAGAGGGAGGGAGGCCCAGCAGGCTTCTCTGGCCCTCATGCAGAAGGCAGAGGGAGAAGGCCTGGTTTCTTACCCTCAGGAGTTTGTGATTTTGCTCAGGGAGGCCACCCTACATGAGTGACATGAGCCAACCTGACTGGGGAGAGAAGTTCTGTAGTAAATTAGGCAGATTTACCATGTCAGGAGACAGCGTGGTACATCAGTGGGGCTGGGGACTTCCTCCTTCCCAGTCACTTTCCCTGCCAGAACCTTCCTGTTACATTCAGATGGGGCCTAAGCCCTTATCCTGGCCTCCATCACAGGGACCTCTGCCTGCCTCTCCAGCCTCATTTCCTGCCTCTCCCTGCACCATAGCCACCCTGGCCTACTTTTTTTCCTGGAACTGACCAAGATTGTTTATGTCTCAGAGCCTTTGCACATGCTGTGACTGTTGCCTGGAATGCTCTTCCCTTTTGTCATGGCTGTCTTCTTAGTCATCATTGAAGGACAGGCACAAATCCCACACCAGCTCTCCCTGACCTGCCCTAGTCCCTCTAGTGTTTAAATCACCTTGAAATTGTCTTGCTGACTTTTGTTTGCTGAGGGCCGCATCCTTGGTACACTGCTGTTATCGACAGTGTCTGGCACATAATAAATGCTCAGATGTTGGTTCCCCAAATGAAAATGGCTTCTCTTGCAGGATCTGTCAGTGACCCTAGGTAAATCACTTTTCCCCTTTGGGGACTCTACTTCCATCTCTGAAAGAAGAATATGGAACTCCAGAGATTCCCCTGGCATCACCTGGTCGTGCAAATGGCCAGGACCCGAGCATGGAGGAGGAGAAAGCGGGCCTGGAGTCTTGAGCAGAGGTTAAACCCTCTGGCTTTTCCACCTAGAATTGTTGACCCAGTGCAGGGCTGGCCTGGGATCATAGAATGTCAGCCAGGCAGCTGATAGGCTTTGTATTTGGTGTCCACTTTGCCCCACTGAGCTGAAACAAACAGCTGAGGCTGACTCTGTTCATTGTTGATTGTCAGGCTTTGGGCCTTAGTGGGATGGGCCATTTCTGCTTATCCAGGAGCCTGAGCTTTTTCAGGGAATGTCTGAACCTGTATAGGACTTAATATACCCACAAAGAAGGGGGGATGAGCTAGGGGATCCATTGGGTGAGGAGACCTGTGATATGGGTCTGTGAACACATTAGTCCCTTTAAGAGAACATTCCAGAGACTGTCCCCCTGAGGGTTTTTGCAGCCAGGCCCCAAAGGACCCTTCTGAAATCTCTTCTGCCGGAAGGTTGTGAAAGTTCTTCACTTCTCCAGAACCAGGAGTGGGTTCACTCCAAACGGTGGCCCCAGGCCCAAACTGTGTGGAGCCATGGGGGGAGAGCTTTGTCGGGGAAAGACTATGGGACCCAGCAGGTGAATGTGGAGGGGTGCGTTCCTGAGGGCCACTTCCTGAGGAACAGCAGTAGGTCAGGGAGAGCATCAGCACAGACCCAGAAGGCAGAGGCGTCCTCTGGAGGAGGACCTTAGCTGGTGCCATTCGGGTTCAGGAGGCTGGGACTTAGTCCCCAAGCCCGCCCCCACCGCGGGTACCTGCAGAGTGGCATAGCCTGACCTGGAGATCTCTACTTTGGTGGCTGCTTTCCACGCGGTGGGTCTAGGTCAGCTTTTTCCCTCCCAAACTCCCCTGATCTTTCTAAATCACCTGGGACCATTGTTCAAAATCCCGACTCTAGGCCCCACCCAGACCTACTGAGTGAAATCTCCAGGGAGGCTTTGGGGCTTGGGGGCTCTGATTTGATTGTTATAATGAGCGCCTCCTGTAATTCAAAAGAATGGGCAGGTTGGCCCTCCTGCCCTGGTGCTGCAGGGTGGGGGAGAGCTGGACAAGGCTCCCAGAATCACACCAGAGGACCCCGCCAGGGCTGGTGAGTCTTCAGGGCCAGCTGACACAGGGGTGAGGGACGGTGAAGATGATCTCTGTGCTTTTAATTGGGAAAATCTTTCTTTTCCCGCAAAACAACACACCAGGTGATGTCAGTGAAGAAAGAATCTGAAATCCATTTGGTGGAACCCTCTGAATGTGTGGATTTTACTCTGCTGGTTGTGAGGGAGATCGGAGTTTGAGCAGTTACAGAGACCACAGACCTCAGGGCCTGAGCTTGGTTGGATTTTTGGAGGTGGAAGGACAGAAGAACATGGCAGGGACTCGGGGGAGGTTCTGATGAAGGGTCCCCCAATTCACGAAGAGGTTCATATGCACCCCTTGGAGGTCAGGAAGCCAGAGTAGAGGTGCCCAAACTCTTCATTTGTTTAAAATGGTCTCTATATCTCCTAGGCTCTACTGTTACACAATAGGCTTTTTGAGGGTGGTTTTGCCATTTTAAATAATTCTGTGCTGAATATCCTTGTAACTTCTCTGATTAGTTTCTTAAGATAAATAACCAGAAAAGCAATTCATTGCTGGACAACAGGACCAAATATAAACCCTGATATTTAAAAAATACATATTTTTTTCTCGAATAGATAAAATATGCAGATAATAATTATAAAAAATATTCAGACAGCACAAACCAGGGGTATGATTAGGCCTGTCTCCCACACCTGCCTGCAGTTCTACTGACTATACCTTAGAGAAAAATGCTATGACTAGTTTTTTTGTATTTCTCCAGAAATGGTCTGTGTTTACATAACTGGCTCTTCTTGTCTTCTTTTTTCTTTTTTAAATATAGATGGGTGCATTTTATATACATACTTTTAAACAGTTTTTCTTTGTATGGTTATATATCATAATATATCTGTCCAGTCCTCAATTAGCAATGACACATTTTTAGGGTTGGAGACCTTCACTAAACCACTTTAGCATGCAGAGCAAGGGATTGAGGCACTGGAGAAAGGACAAGGCTTCCAAAGCCGGGTGCCTCCCCCAGAATGCTTTAGTGTCTCCTGGGGAAAGGGGATTCGCAGAAAGCCTGGGAACCAGTGATCACGGAGCAGCCCAGGCAGGAAGTGGAAGACGCTGTCAGAGGTAAGGCAGGCTGGGAAGTGCCCCCCTGCCCCCGTGCAGTGAGGGACAACCCAGTCCTCTCCTGGGGGGCCCAGGAAGCCTGTATGGAGTGTGCCTCTGTGTGAGGGGGTGGCGCCACGGACTTGGCCTCTCCTGAGCCGGCAGCACAGGCCTGGGCTACAGCTGGATTCAGGGAAGCTGGCTTCACAGGGAAATCATGGGGGTGCAGACACATCTTCACTATTGCTGGGGCAGAATGCTGGCTTTCTCTTCAATACCAGACTAGTTTGTCTCATCTTTTTTCCCTTTTCTCCCCAGAGGCTCATCCAAAATAGAGGAAGCATGCGAAATCTACACCAGAGCAGCAAACATGTTCAAAATGGCCAAAAAGTGGAGTGGTATGTGATCTCTGCTGGAGCTCCTTCATGGGTCTTTCTCCTCTCGCCCCTCAGTTACCAGTCCCACCGGCCTGGCGAGAGGTTCGCCCTGCAGCCCGCCTTCTTTTAACACCGTCTCCACACCAGAAACCCATCGGCCTGCCATCTGGTCGTTTTGAGCCCCCTGGGTGATTTTATAACGTGGGTCCCAAGGCCTTGGAGACAGGACTCAGAACTTGGCTCCTCCCGATCAGTTTCCCCCTCAGCACAACAGTGGGGAAGTGATAGTCCTGAACCTGTGGGGCCGCAGTACGGCTCTGTGGGCACCGGGCCCCGCCGCTGAGGCAGGCGGCCCGCGGGGACAGCGGCGGCTGCCCACTGCACATGCGCGGCTTCGGGAGCAGTGCCGCTCCCGCTCTTGAGTGGGAGGAAGGCTCTTAGAGGACGCCGGGTTTCAGAGCACCCAGCCCCTGTGCTCTCACTCGGGCTGGGAAGAGGCGCACATGGGCTGCGTCACACAGTGCTGGACGCCCCTCCCCCCACAGAGGTCACCTGGACCCCTGTGTTAGTGGGTGGTGTGTCATTGAGTCGGGGCTCTTCTGACTTGGCCTGGCACGTGGTCAGTCTCTGGCAAGGCTAGAGCTTGGGTGGCATCCGCCAAGGAGGGGTGGGTGGAGTGGAAGAGCTGTCTGGGAGTTGGCAGGGGGGAGGGCAGAGTTGACCACCCAGCATGGCAAGCGCACTGGGGGCTGGTCTCATCTTAGCAGTTTTGAGCATCAGCAAGGCTTAGTCCAGGAAATCAAGGAAAGACAGTTTTTGGAAGCCAGGAAGGAACTTTCTGACCAGAAAGGAGATGAACTCTGGGATGGGACTATCAAGGTTTAGGGTGAAATGGGTTATCATTGTTTGTTGAGAATGTCTTTGGTTTCCCTGGAAATGAGAATAATTTTTCCTGAGCTCTCACAGAATATACTGTGCATAAAGTAAACACTGTGTTTTTATGCTCCCAAACTAAGAAAGTGCCATTAGAGAAAGAATACTTACTTTTCATTCACATAGATGCTTTTCCTCTAAACTTGTTACCTCCCACCCCCCCTTCCCAATATTCAAACAAAAGACCTAGGCCGTTTTTCATTTTTCTCCAATAATATTACCTTTTCTGGAAATTCTGCACTCAAGTATGGAGCCTTTAAACATAATTAAAAAAAAATCATAGTGAAAATCTGCATGGCTTTGTCTATCCTGCTGCTTTAAAGTTACAATACAGGGCCCTCTTGTCCTCTTCCAGCTCAGGAATTCTGTGGTTCAGCTGGAGGAGAATGAGCCTTAGGTGGAGGCTGGCTGAGCTGGAGGGGCCCCCAGTTAGCACAGTCCCGCCCCAGGAACAGGAGCGATCCTGTTGTCTCCTTCAAGCCACAGGTCAGTTTAGGAGACAGAGATGTGTGACCACAGTGGCGTGGGGCCAATGGATGGTGAGGGCATGCAGCCTAGTACAGGAGTCTGGGCTTCAGATGTGGGCTCCCTGCCCTCTGTCCACTCACAGGCACTTGTCCTCATGCATTTGAGTTCTTGGTGTTCACATCCTGTTTTCCTTCCTGGGTGTAAAGCTCCTTGTAGGAGCAGACCCTGTGTGTCCCATCACCCCCAAGACCATGTGCCTCTGGGTTAGTATGGCGCCTTGCCCATGAGACCTGCAGTGGCTGCGTAAAGGGCTAGAATGTGGACAGAGACAGAGGAGCTGGGAATGAGGAAGAGCTGGGAGCCGTGGGAGACAGAAGGCTGGACTTGGAAGGGAAGTAAGTGGGGAGGGAGGTACATGGTTGAATTTTGATTGCTCCTCTCTTCTGCCAAACACAAACCCTCCTGGCCCCATCCCATGATCCAGCCTGCACCCTGCCTCTGAATGACAGGTCTGAGCCTGTGGTTTGCAGTGTCCTGGTCGGGGTGGGGGGGTGGGCGGGAGACTGTGCATACGACAGGGGTTAGGAGGTGGAGGAGACCTTGGCGGGCTCATATGTCTGTGGCTCTCAGCTCTGTATGCCTTCTCCTTGGATCTTTAGAAGTGATGGCCCTGGAAATGTTGGCAAAGGCTCGGATATGGACTGTGCAACTGCAGCTGGGCTCACCCAGGCCCTCTCTGTCCAGCGGGCTCTCGGGCTTCCCCCAAGGCAGCTTCCTCCTCCCTCAGACCACTGCGTGGGCCACCGGAAACCCCCACCCAGGGGTCAGAAGGCTGAAATCAGGGCCACCCCCTTGGCTCATCCAGGCCCGTCTCCTCTCTCAGGGACCATCCGTGTTCTCGAGAGCCTGACCCACCTCCCAGGGCAGTGAGGGGCTTAAGAACCCTGGAGCGCCACTAAGGCTGGGATCCCTCTTCTTTTCTGTTCCAGCTGCTGGAAACGCTTTCTGCCAGGCAGCCCAGTTGCACCTGCAGCTCCAGAGCAAGCATGATGCAGCCACCTGCTTTGTGGATGCTGGTAACGCGTTCAAGAAAGCCGACCCCCAAGGTGAGGGCCTGTGTGGGACCCTGAGGCCGGCTACCCAGAGCGCCAGCCTAGCACTCTACAGAGAAGTCTGCAAGTTTTCATGTGACTGGTTTTCTCCAGGGGCTGACATGCACTAGGCTGGCAGGGAGGTACTGGCACTTGAACTTCAGAATTGGCTCCTTTCCTGTTGGCATTTGCATCCCTCTCCAGGCCTCCGCCTCCCCCTGCTACTTTGTGTGTGCGGCTGCCCCACTCTCGAAGCCTGGAGCATTTGGGAGTGGGAGTTACACTGCAGACCCACCGCGTGCCAGGGAGAGAGGAAAATCTGTTCTGTTGTCAGAATTAACATGCAGAACAGGGTGGGAAGGGGTTGTGAGACCAGCCAGGTAGGAGTCACTGCTGAAAAAGGAGCGGAAATTTTCCTGACCTGGCTTCCATATACCCTGACGGGGGTCAGAGAGAACAGAGCCTGAGGTGCAGTTGCCAGAGAGCAAGTTACTTAAGATGAGAGCACTCGGGACAGAAGCCCAGTTTGGGACTGACTCACCGTGAGAAAACCGTGCCCCCTGGGCTCATCCTCAGTGGAAGCAGAGCCCCATAGATACCGGACTTTGGGGTCTCACAGAGCTGCAATTTTAATTAATTTTTTTTTAATGTTGGTGTCAGACATAGGTTGCTGACCTTTAATTTTAGCAGGCAAAGGTACTTTTTTAGTGACCATCTATTGCCACTCTCCTCTTATAAGAGAATAAGAAATATATGAAGAATCAAAAAAAAGATTGGTGCTCCAAGGATTGGCGAGCGTCAGGTCACACACAGTCAAGGATTTGATCTCTCTATAGACCAAGTGGCTTTTCTCTGTCCCCCAGACTTGCCTGGTGGCTCCTCTGTAGCTGGGTGTCTCACAGATGTTGGCCTAAGTGGTCAGGTGGTGGGCTTGTGCTTGGCTAGAACCAGAGGGGAGGCCTTGTGACAAGGTGGGCCACAGCAGGCCATGGGGGCGATGTGATGACGACCAGGGGCAACCCTGGGCCTCTTTTCACCTCGATTCACCCAGGAAAGTCTGCGCGTCTCCTATAGAGACCCCTCCGCGCCCAGCCTTCCCTCTGCTCCCTGGGGCCTGGTCCACCTGGAAATGCTGCTGTAGCGTCTGCAACATCTAGCTGCCGCTCTGGAGTGACTGGAAGGACTTGTTTCTGGGTGGGAGCGGAGCGCCAGGCTGCATGACATGTGCACAGCGCCATTGGCTCTTTAAACAAATTGCAGTGCTTCCTGTGGGCAGGTCCCACCTGGCACCGTGATTTCGTGTACTTCCTGGTCTTTGAGCTGAGCTTTTGCATCTCCCATGAGGCCCTGCCTTGTGTATGTTGATTCTGGAGCCTGGGTTTGGGGGTGTGGCCCCGTGCCTAGCCCTGGGAAGTGTGAGGTTGGCGGAGGCATCCTGGGCCGCTGGGAAAGCATCAGCAGGTGATGCTGGTGACATGCCCATTGTGAGGCCCAGAGACCAACTTATTTCTCCAGAGATCAGTGAGCATAGTTTTCTGCCCTGGGAGCTGAGGCACGGAGGGAGTGGATTTGGGGTGAAGGGTACCTGGCAGGGAAATAAAAGGGGCAGTGGTATGGAGGAGGGCCTAATTTGGGCAGAGCTGGGAGCAGGTGCCTTGGCTGGAACCTCAGGAGTTTGGTGCTGAGCAGGGAGGGGTATTGGGGGGCATCCCAGCATCATGGCCTGCGCTGCCCACCCCAGTCAGGGTTGGGGGAGTGTGTGGCTCGGTGTGGTCTCCAGGGTCTGGGCAGAGCAGTCCCTTAATCTTTTTTGAGCCTCCATTTCCTGGTCTGGTAAATGTGAGGCACACGTAAGGGAAAGCGTAGAGATGCCCAGAGTGGTACCTAGCTTGTGATTAACATCTGGAAAGAGGCAGCCCTTAGCTCCTATCTGATGGGGCCTGGCCTGGGCTCCCCCAGCCTCTGCCCCTGGGCCGTGTGCCTTGTGAAACAGGGCTGGGGGGCCCATTTGGACCCCTGCCCAGTTTCCCCAAGCAGGTGACTAGCTCCTGGGCCTTACTGGTTGCCTTACCTGCTTCGAAGGCCTCCGCCTGTGTCAGCACTTCCTGAGGGAGTCCTGGAGAGCCCTCCCCTCGAGGCAGCTGGTGCAGAGCCTGCGCCAAAGGCCTTCCAGGGTGGAAGGAAGGATTTGGCTCCTGTTACCGTCCTCCCCCTCTGCCAGTCTGCCTGAGTGGGCCGGGGAGGGCCTGCTGCCCCCGTGGTGGCTGAGGGTGGGGAGGTGACGGACCCAGCTGTCAGAGGTTCCCCCTTCGCCAGCCACTGCTGACCACTCTGGGTGGACCTGGGCGGGAAGGCCTCTTACCCGCTCCCGCTCCCACTCCCGACAGCTGGGTGCACCAGGGCCCGGGAAGCGGCCTGGCCCCACCCGTCTCCTGCTGCCATTTGCTGGGTGCCTGCTGCATACCAGACCCCTGGTGAGGCAGCCTTCCTTTGATCCATTCCACTTCTCTGTGAGGTCCTGCGGTTCGCCCTCATTTTACCGAAGAGGAGACTGGGGCTGAGTCCAGGCAGTGATGAGGAAGCCACTAAAGCACAGAGGGTGGGCGGAGGGCCCCGGGTTGCCCTGCTCCGCTCTGCCTAAGCCAGCACCTTCTGCTTCTTGCACGTCAGCCCTCCCTGCCTCCCCAGTTCTGGGCTGGATCATTCCGGAGCCCTGTCCAGCTCCCTGGCTGTGTGGGTGGGGATGGCGTCAGGTGTGCTGGGCTTTGCCGTGTTTGTCCGGGGGGTCCTGGGGGTCTCCATGACCAGAGACAAGCTGTTTGAGCCAGTGTGTCAGCGGCTTGTCTGTGAACACTCACTAGGGTGTCAGCTGGCAGTCAGCCACTTTGAGGGACAGTCCCAGAGCGAGGAGCCAGGCGTGAGGGGAACTTAAGCCCAGGAATCCATGTCCATGCCTGGGACTAAGTTCCTCCCCACTGCCGCTGCCAGGGGGGCCTGTTCACAGGGGGGAGCTTCCAGCCTCTCTCCGTCCCAGGCTGTGGTCTCGCCAGGAGCAGCCCTTGCCTGCAGGCGCCAGGTTGGGCCTCCTGGCATTCCAGGGAGTTACCTGGGGGTCTGCCAGCTACATCTGCCTTCTGGGGTAGAGGACAGAGCAGGTGGGGTTTGCTGCCGCCCAGCTACCTTCTTCCTTATCACCTTTATCATGGTGTTGCAACCCGTTGCTAGCTCACCACTTCCAGAAATGTTCTGTTAGAAAATATGTGCATGTGTTAAAATAACTATAATAGCTGTAATTTTTTGTGTTCTTCCGCTTTTGTCCTCTGCCCCCTTTCACCTTCTTTTCCTTCTCCTTATTGGCTGGGCCCCCCAGCTGGCAGCCTCAGAACCTTGACTAAACGGTGTACAGAATCTTTCTGAGGTCCCCACAGACCTTTTAGAACTGGACCAGACCAGCAGACCCTCCCCCAGCACGGTGCTCACAGACACCCACTTTTTGCAGGCACATTTAGGGGGCTTGTGGACTCCCTGTTGGCCCAGTCACAAGTCTGAGGCTCAGCGCCTCTGTTCACATGTCTCCCTGGGTAGTGAGACCATTAGCCCTGAGAGCAGGCACCAGGCCTTGTGCCTCTGTGTAGTGTCTCAGCCTGGTGGGCCCGGCTGACCATGGAGACCCTGTCAGATGCCCAGGATCCTTGTGAGTGCCCTGGACCGTGGGGTGAACTTTCAGCCTCACCCCAGCTCGGAGTCCATATGCTGTGGTCTGTCCAGGCTCTTTGTCTCCCCCATCTCCCTTTCCTCCTGAGATTTATTAAAATGGTATTAAAAAATCCATCCTGAGAGCTCATCTCTGTCTGCTAGAAAATGCCTCCCACTCATGTTTCTCTCTCTACTTCAAATAACTTGTCACAAAAAAAAGCCATTCCCAAATTCAAAATCTTGCAAGAGATAGTACCACAAAGGTAGCCCAGTTCCTCCTGTCAAGTGCCATCCTGGTGTGTGTGCTTTCCTGATGGAACCTGAGGAGCTGGCAGGTAGCAGCGCCAGGGTCAGAGGGCCAAGGGCAGAATGTGGGCATATGGACAAGAGAAAGCATGAGAGTCTAGCTGGAGGGGCCTCAGTGTCACGGCATCCAGCCTTCTCCAGCCGTACACGGAGGCCTGGTGCAGGGAACATGGCTGATGGAGCGGCCCGCACTGAAAGGGCGGCAGAGCCCACGTGGAACCTGGGTGTCCCTCTGGTGTCAGGTTTGGTGGCCTCTGGCCCCATCTTGCTGCTTGCCAGCAGCTCTGTCCTTGGGTGTAGGGTCTTGGCAGGTCTGGTTCAACAGCCATGGGAGTCTGGCTGTCAGCCTGACCAGGCGCCAGCGTGTCCTGTCCCAGGGTTTCTGGGAAGGTGGTGGCCGCCGTGGCAATGAGGCTCCCCCTGAAGCATGTGCCCCACAAGTTAGTCTGCAGAATACATTCATCTGATCAAGTTTTCTGGGGCTCAGGGATTCCTCCACCCTCCCTCCCGGCACCTGGAGAACGTGGCCCTGGAAACCCCAAGCACCTGTTGGTCTCTGCAGGCACAGGAGCACCTGCATCATACCTCCTGCCTCTCCTCGGCTTCTGCTGAAATGGCCTCACTTCCTCATTTCTCCTCCCCATCTCCCCATTTTCTCTCCCCAGAGGCCATTAACTGTTTGATGAGAGCAATTGAGATCTACACTGACATGGTAAGGGTCCCTGGGTGTCCTGTCCCCACTCCTGGTCTCCCGGCTGCCCCAGCCTTACCTCCCTCCACCAGCGCAAGAGCAGGCAGGCAGGGGTGGTGGGAGCCATGCAGGTTTTGGTCACCTGGGCTGGCCTGGCAAGGTCCAGGCTGGCTCCTGGCAGCTGACGGCCCCACCCCAGTTCCTGCCCTCCACCTCCGCAGAGGCCACAGAGGTCTTCATTTGTAGAAGTTCTGTGTATGGGGGCCTGTGTGTGTCCGGTACTTTCCTCCTCGCCCAGCCTCCCCCCAGAGTCCCATTGGGCTGGCAGCTCACGGAGGCCAGAGGCGAGGGAGGCGAGGCCCAGAGTCAGCCTAGCCCCTGCCCTGCCCCAGGGAGCCGGGATGGTGTTCTGCCTCATCACACACCTTCTCTGTCCCGTCAGGCCCCTCCCCAGGCAGGAGTGCAGGGTCGGGGCCCCTGCCCAACCCGGGGCGACGCTGCAGTGCCCTCCTTACAGCAGTGAGCTACAGCTGGTTTTCCAACAAGACACTCTGAACCAGCTGGTTTAAACTACTTCTCCAGCAGCCAGTTGTTATCCTGTTTTATGAAAGGGGGGCCCGGGCAAGTGACATGACTTGCTTAGGGACATATGCCTACAAATGGGACTTGTGGGACCCAAAACTAGGCGTGACTGAGCCCAGGGCCTTGCTCTTTCTTGCTGCCTCCAGCCAGGGGGTGGCCACAGACCAGCCCCTGTGTGCAGACCAGCAGGCCAGGCACCTAGGCCCCCCCTGAGTGGAGGCGCAGAGCGGTTGCTCAGCCGTCTAGTAGCCAGAGGCCTCCCTAGGGAAGGCTCTGGATGTCCGCAGGGGAAGCTCCGGCACAGGGAGGCATGGCCTGTGGGAAGAGCCACCTCTGAGGCCATACTGGGAGAGGCGGCCGAGGGGGAGCTTGTCCCTTTGGCAGTGGGATGGTGGGTCCTCAGCCCTGGTTTCTGCCAGGTGACTCTGGCTGGTCCTCCTGCCTCTCTGGACCATCTGTCAAATGCTTCCTCAGGCCAGGGCCTTTGCCAGCTGCCTCTGCACATGTTATCTGTGGTGTTGCCCCATCTGCCTGTGCCCCCCGGGCAGGATGGAAGCTGAGGTTGGATGTGGAGTCACTGCACAGGGACACCCAGTCAGACCAGGCCTCATCCCAGAGCCTCCCTTCTAAGTCCCGTGTCTCTCCGCCTCTCCGTATCTTCTGCACACCTCACCACATGGTGTGGCTGAGGGGCAGGAGCCCACCAGCTTTGGGGACCCGGAGGGGCATGGTTGAGCTGGGCTGGGCACTCTGGGTATCACTGGTCACAGATGGCCCCTTCCCATCCTGCCAGGGCCGATTCACTATCGCCGCCAAGCACCACATCTCCATCGCTGAGATCTATGAGACGGAGCTGGTGGACATCGAGAAGGTAAGTGGTAGTCGGGGGCCCTCCCTGGCTCACAGGTGGGGGTGGCTGCAGCAGCAGGTCTTTGGGCCTAGGGCTCCCCTGTCTGTCCTGTCCACTTGGGGGGTCCTCTGGTGTCTGAATCTCACAAGAAGGACCTTGGCAGAACTTAAAGGGCCTGCGGATGACAAAGGCTGCCCCGGTGCCCACCCCACCTGCCCGTGTCTCCCCAGGCCATTGCCCACTATGAGCAGTCAGCGGATTACTACAAAGGAGAGGAGTCCAACAGGTACCTGGGTGCCAGGCTCCCCTCCCCCTGCCCACTCCAGACCCCTGAGTCTCCCAGACTGGCCACCACCCACCTTTCTCCTCTCTCCCTGCCTCCCAGCTCAGCCAACAAGTGTCTGCTGAAGGTGGCTGGTTATGCTGCACAGCTGGAGCAGTATCAGAAGGCCATTGACATCTATGAACAGGTTGGGGTGTGGGGGCGGGGGGGTGGGGCTCCAAGCCCTGTTCTCAGAGGTTCTCCACGTCCCTCCTCGTCCCCTTCTCCTGCACCCTGTACTCAGCCTGGCTAAACGCTTCTCTCCACCCACAACCCCAGGAGGTGTCACCAGTCTTTCCCTAGATATGCCCTTCCCGCACCGTTCACAGAGCTGTTTGGGAGTCAGAGGGGCAGTGGGAAGAATTGCCCAGGTCTGGGTGGCCAGGAAGCAGGGTGCCCTCTGCTGTGATGGGGGCGCTGCGCAGGGTCCAGGCTGTCCTGGTGTGTTCAGCCTGGCCCGGAGAAAGGCAGGCAGCTGGCTTTGGGGAATGGAGCAGGCACCGCCTCATGTTTCCGCAGCCTGCCATCCCTCTACCTCTGCCCTCCAATGTGCCAGCCTCCCATTGGGCCTATCAGTGGGGCCGCCACCCCCAACTCTCTTGGGCGCCTCAGGAGGCCTGCAGACACCTGGCTTCAGCCCTGTGGCAGCCCTCCCCCACACCCATAATGCTCTGGTCCTTGCTCAGTCACACACTGCTTCCCAACTGCCCAGTCCCTGGGGCTAGTCCCTGGTCTCCTTGCCCTTGGGGCCCCACTCAGGGTATGGACCCGGCTCCCAGCTGGACCCCAGGTGCCTGGCAGCAACCCTGGCCCTCTGGCTCCCCACCCTGAGTTCTCAGTGCCACGTCCATGTGCTCACAGGTGGGGACCAATGCCATGGACAGCCCCCTCCTCAAGTACAGCGCCAAAGACCACTTCTTCAAGGCGGCCCTCTGCCACTTTTGCATCGACATGCTCAATGCCAAGGTGAGCCCAGGCTCCCTGAGCCCACCTGCTTGGTGACCACCCGCAGGGCAGCACGTCTGTTACCAGGCCAGGTCACCTCTCAGCCCCTTGCAGGGGTGAGCTCCTCACTCATGTCTGGCCTCTTGACAGTGGGCCTTGGGCAGGAAATGCTTGTCTTCACTGGGACATTTCTGTCCCTGATGTCACCTGCCAGGTCCCTGTAGGGTTTGAGTCTCCGGCTCCTGGCTCAGCGCCAGGCTCACTCTTTCAGCACATTTCAAATCCTTACTGCACCCCATGAGGTGCGTGTCATTGTCACCCTTTTTACAGATGAAGACACTGAGGCTGAGGCCAGAATCCCTTGTTCAAGGCCTCATGACTAGTAAACTCCAGTCCTAGGATTCCAGGTCTTTCTGTCTCCCAGTGTCATGATTTGAACCACAGTATGCATGCCCACCCCATCCACTTTCAGGGCTTTTTCAGCAAGAGAGGGGTCAGTGCTGGGCCAGGGGGCAGGGAATGGCCAGGGGAAGAGCTGGACTCGGCCAGAATCTAAGCTGCCCTGGGGTCTCCAGCCCCACCACCCTCAGCTACAGGCCTGTCTGAGCCCCCCACCCCCACACATGCCCCCTCCAGGAGCACCTGGCAGGGAGCTGAGAGCTCAGGCTTCGGTGTAGGGCTGGTTAGTCCCTCTCCCCAAGCAGTTACTCTGTGCCCTGAGCAAGTCACTGCCCTCTCTGGTGTTTCCCTACTTTTGAAATGGGGACCACCACCGTGGGCCCTCATGATGGTTGAGTGTGAGAAGTGGCCAGCTCTGGGCCTGGCATGTAGGATATATTCAGTCATTGTCCTTTGCCCCCTATCCTGGGTGGGCCCAGCTGCAGAAAGCAACAGGGGGCACTGGCCTGGGAAGCCCTCCTCTCCATGCTACCCCCTCCCCAAGCTGTCTCTGCAGCCACGCTTGCTCTGAGATCAGCCCCAAGCCCTCTGGAGGTGCCATGAGGTACAGAGCCTCGGCGGGGAGGAGGTGGGAGGAGACCCAGAGCTGACTCGGCCCGAGTGTCCCCAGATTCCCTCGGCGTCCAGGCCTGTGGCTCCAGTGGTCCCTCTTCACTACCTTGTCCCCTTCCTTCCTCCTGCCCTTGCTGGTGCTCAGCTCGCTGTCCAGAAATACGAGGAGCTGTTCCCTGCATTCTCCGATTCCCGGGAGTGTGCGCTGATGAAAGTGAGTCCTGGCTGCTCGGCCGCGCCTTTCCCTGCCGCTCTTTGTTTCTGGGCCCGGAGAGGGTGCTGGGAGACGGAGAAATCTGGAGGCTTGGGCTACGGTTACCATAGTCATTGAGATTTGTGATTCTTAAGGGTCTCTTGTTTCTATTCTGTTTGTCCTTTTCTGCCATTTGGGTCTCTCTTTTCTAGATGAGAAAAGGCACAGGCAGTAGTGGAGCTAGGGGCCGAGGTGGGAGGCTGCGTGATCACGTGCGCGAGCACACACACACACACACACACACACACACACACACACTCTCTCTCTCTCTCTCTCTCTCTCTCTCTCTCTCTCTCTCTCTCTCTGTTCTGTGTCAGTGAGGCTGCCAGCGACCTCTGTGCGGAGGACAGCCCTCTCAGCATGAGAGTCCCCCCAGTGTTCACCCTCCCAGGGTGGGGGTGTCCAGTCCAGCCCAGGCCTCGGCCAGCGTTGCCCAGACCCCTGCCTCCCATTTTTTTGCAGAAATTATTAGAAGCCCACGAGGAGCAGAACATAGGCAGCTATACCGAGGTGGTAAGTGGCTGTAGGGATGGCTGCCCTTCTCAGACACACACCCATGAATTTCAGCCTTTGTCTTTGGCCCTGGCCCCTGGCTGAGAAATTCTTTCTATAGTCATCCTAGAATCTTCACAAAGAGCCCCAAGAAATATGGGACCTCTTCTCCCCATTTTAGAGATGACGGCACTGAGGCTGGGAGAGGGGAGGAGAGGTGCTGGTCCCTTGGGGGTGGGGCTGGGATTCAGACCCACATCTCTCTGCCCCTGAAGGCCAAGGTCTTCGTACCACTCAGAGTCCCGGGTGAGCAGCTGCAGAGAGAAGTCCTGTCCTCACCCCACACTGCCCCCCCGAGAGAGGAGGGAAGTGGGCTGAGGGGCAGGAGACTTCCTTTACTCTGTCCTGAATGTTCTGGAACTCACTCGTGTCCAGCTCAGGTCCTAATCCAGTCCTCTGGGACATGATGGTCAGGCAGCTCTGTCCTTGGGAGCTCCTGTGGAATCCTGTGCCCCTGAATGGTGGCAGAGACCAAACTCCCTCTGGGCCGACCTGCCCCACAGGGCGGGCGGGCAGGACGCTGGGAGCTCAGCTGCAGAGGGGGGCGAAAGCGCAGCAGGGCCCTGACGGGCCTGGGCTCTCTCTGGCCTTCCCTCCGCCGGCACACAGAACAGGCCTTTTTCACATCTTCAGATCTCAATTTCCCATCTGTAAAACAGGGAAGCTGGACTTTTTAAACTACAAAATCCTTTTTTCCCAAGGAAGCCCTCTACCCAGGCTAGTAAAGGCAGACAGAGGGAGCTGCTCTGACTGGGGGCCAGCCTGCTGCTTCCCCTGGCTCCTTCTTGGGGATGGAGGCTGGAAGGGACACTATAGAGAATTTTGGAACCAGAGACCTTAGCCTCGAGGATCAGGGACAGGGAGGGACAGGTGTGTCACCTTACCTGGGCACACCACAGGTGAAGGAATACGACTCCATCTCGCGGCTGGACCAGTGGCTCACCACCATGCTGCTTCGCATCAAGAAGACAATCCAGGGTGACGAGGAGGACCTGCGCTAAGCGTCCCCTGCCCCCTGGCCCGGCTCCCTGCCTGTCTGCTCTCCCAGGGGCCCTCCTGCGCGGACCACCTGTGAACCCAGAGAGAGGAGGAGCCCCGCCGCGGACTGCCAGGCCTTCCCCGCCTCCCCGCTGAGGCGTCTGGCAAGCCAGCGTGGGCTCCTCCGCACTGCTCCAGGGCCCCCTGCGGTGTGGGAAGGGTTCTCCCCATTTTAGAGACTAGCCAGCCAGTCACCCTTCATTCTTGCTGCATTCCTTGCTCCCTGCCAGTTTATTTAAGCCCCCAAAGGTGCCCTTCACCCCCAAACACAGAGTCTGACACAGACCTGTTTGTGGTCAGTGCTGCCAGGTCCTGGGGTCAGCATCTGGCCCCCCATCCTTCACCTGGCTGAGTCGAGGCTGGTATCTGTGTCTCCCACTTTGTCCTCCAGCCGAGCTCTGAGCACACACAGCTTCTCTCACCACTGGGGTGGGCTCCACTCCCCTCACCCCCAGGCCAGGAGCCTCCCCACAGCCTTTTGCAGCCCCAGCCCATTAGGGTAGAGACCCCAGGAGCTCATAGGGTCATCCCCACACCCAGTCCTAAGTCTGCTCCTTCCCTAGTGCTTAGGTTTCATCGTGGGAAGCTGCAGCTGGCCCAAGACAGAAAATAAAAAAAGAATCCTGCGTGAGTGTCTCTTCCTCCTCACCTCTGCCACCCCTTCTCCCTTCAGGGCAGGGTGCCATCTCCCTCTCCCTCCTGGTCTCCCCCTCACACTTGGTGGGAATGAGGAGGGCATTTGTCCTCCTCAAGGTGAGTGTGACCTGGAGACTGTCCAGAGGTCCTAGGGTTGGGGAGGCCCGGGAATGGTGGGTCTGGGGAGGAGCTGCAGACTTGGGAGTCCAGTTTATGTTTTGATCTGATGTTCTCTGGGCCTTCAGTTTTGGTTTCCTAGCTGGGACAATGGGTGGCAATGCCACTCTAGAGCTGGCTGGAGGATTGATAGAGCAGTCAGGATAGGAAGGGGTGGAAGAGGCCCACCAGATACTGAGCCTCGCCACATGTCCACATTTCCGCGGAGGGAGGGCCGAAACCCCCAGTGGCATTTGTTCCCGTCTGGCACAGGAGGGGGTTAAACCACTGGGCAGAGTACAAGGAACAAGTGGGTGTGAGGGGTGGGAGCAGAGAAGACAGGAGCCCTTTGCCCAGGAAAGGGACAAGAGCCACCCACCTTGTAGGCCTGCTTGTCACACTACCTGCATGATGTGCGTGTGCTCCACCCGCCCTGGGCTGGGCTCTCCTTTCACCGTCAGGGCAGTTGGAGGAGGTTCAGTGCCCGGTGGGGGTGCAGGGGTTAGTAATAACGCAGACGCCTTGTGAGACAGGGACTGGGTGTAGTAAGAGTAGGGTGAGGGCCTCCGGAAAAGCAAGGCAGGATGTTTGCAGTCAGAGCAATGTACCTACATGCAAGGAAACCCCCTACCAAAACTCTGTTAAACATTCAGCTCTTGAGTCATTCTTCAGTGAGATCAGTTAATATTCCCCAGATAAAGAAGAGTAGTACATATTTTTGTTATGCTAATCATTTATAATCATGTGTGGGATTCATTTAACATACTAAAAAGCCCAGGCCTAGGTGCTGTCTTTCCTCCTTCAGATCTGATGAAGTGATTTTGCAAACTGGGCAACTAATTCAGCATGCAGACCCAGACATAAACAACACAGTAAAAGACAAGAAGGATTCCACCTTAAAGATAAGATTATGTTTTAATACCCAAGAAGTTAAGATGTTAGAATTTCTTAACTTACTCTTTAGCGAACAATACCTCAGCCCATCTTGGGGACTGGGCAGGCAGCTGGCCTTGTTTCATATGCCCCCAGACCAAGATGCTGGCATCTCAGGGATAAATCATCAGAGCAGGAAGTTGCTTGCATTAATTTAAAATATTCAGGGACCACTTAGTAAGTCCACACTCGTAAGTTTTTTTTCATATTCTCAAAAATCCTCAACTGCCTATAAAACCCCTAGACAATACACCACCCCGGACTCTCTTGTCCCCTCCTGGCGTGAGTCAGGAGCCCTGTCCTTTCACTTTATCTCTAAATAAAAGCCTGTACCTTGCTCTCCTACCTTGAGTGTTTGTAGAGCTCATTCAGCTTCATGAACAAGAACCCCAGGGTCACTTGGATAGGGGCTCCATTCTGGAGCCTGGAAGACCTGCAGAAGAGGTTCCTCATATCAGAATGCACAGGGACCTGCCTAGCTCCTCGTCGCCTTCAGCGCCTCCCAGAGTTCTAATTGATTAATAATGGCTGCCTAGAGCTCAGTTAAGACTCCTGCAGCTTGAGAGTGATTACTCATGTCTGCTACAGGAACAGGCTGAACAATAGTGTTCTAATATGTTTCTACAGTCAGTGACCTAGTGATTCTCAACAGTGGCTGTGCTTAAAACATTAAAAGTACTCAAGCTTGCTTCACACCCTGATAAATTGTGGCTTGATTGAGGTTCCCACCCTTAGGGTTTTTTGTTTTGTTTTGTTTTTACATGAAAGCCCTAAAGGTGATTCAAATGTGTAGCTGGATGGGAAATCACTAAACAGAAGAGTTCTTTCCTTAATACCCTGTAACTTCATTCACTTATCCAGTCACTCAACAAACATTAAGTGAATGTAGTTTACAGGTTACCAGGTGAGGTAGAAGCCTGACAAAAATGTTCTTCAGAAGTGACAGAACTAGATCTAACATTCTGTCCCCTCAGTGCATATCTACTAAGCACCTACTGTGTGCCATGGGAATATAGCACTCAACAACATAGCCAGACCATACCCTCTAGGAGCTTTTACTCACTAAGCCCAGAAATCTTGAATTGACACAAACTCCTTTTACAACCCTACAGATCCAATCTACTTTGGAGAACTTTCTTCTCTGTCTCTTATGTAACAGTGCCCTAGGTGCTTGGCAGAGAGCCTGGCACATAGTTTTACAAGCTTTTAACATATTTATTGAGTCCTTGCTTTGTGTCAGCCCTTGTGGCCCAGGTGCTAGGGATTTGTGACCAAAGATCCAGTCACTGCCTTAAACCCCTGATGTCCTTCTAGGGACAAAAAAGTACATAAAGGAATCCTTGAAGCACTCATAGAAACACCTGGTTAACATCCTGTCTTCATCATTTTCTAGCATATCACTTAAAGGACTTACTCTCCCTGAGCTACAATTTCATGCTGTATACATTGGCTTAATAAACCTCTTTGCAGGGTTATCGCAAGGGTTTGAGATGAATTTGTAAAGGATATCCAGGCATGTAGTAAGCGCTCAGTAAATGCTGGAGAACTGAATATGGGGTAATTGTGATTGTGAGGATTCCGTGAGATAACTGGGGCCAACGTGACTGGCACCAAGTAGGCGTTTAATAAAGGAGGTAGTTTTCTGCCAGGACAGATAACTACATCTTTTTTCCTTGGTAAGAAGAATGCATTTCACCATTTTAAAGGTGATGTGATTAAAAGAATAAATTATGGGGCATAACTACATCTCTTTTCCTTGGTAAGAAGAATGCATTTCACCATTTTAAAGGTGATGTGATTAAAAGAATAAATTATGGGGCATAACTACATCTCTTTTCCTTGGTAAGAAGAATGCATTTCACCATTTTAAAGGTGATGTGATTAAAAGAATAAATTATGGGGCTATCTTGTTTGGGTTCCAGTACTGACTGCTTCTTACTAGCTGTGTGGTTTTAGACAAACTACCTTTCTGTGCCTCAATTCCTTCAACCATAAAAGAGGTATAGGGTACCTACCTCAGCCTGCTTGTGCATTTTGAATAGATACATGGAAAGTGCTCAGGATAGCTCTGGCACTCCTATGTGTGCCCATGTTGAGTCTTAACGATAATTCTTATTCTACCTTCCATACAGCCCACAGTGAGGACCACCACCTCCCACCTTCAGATAACAAGGGCATCCCGACTGGTAGCCATCTTAGTAAAGGGCAGAGACGGCGGTTTCTCTGCGTCATCAGTCTGCGCGACGGGTGGGCGCCTGGCTGTCCCGGTCGCTTCAAGAGCGGCGGGTGGAGGAGGGAGGGCTACCGTGGGGGCTGTTAGGGGTAAGTGGTTGAGGGCCATGATGGGCGAAGCGGCCGTGGCCGCGGGACCTTGCCCGCTGCGTGAGGATAGCTTCACGCGCTTCTCGTCGCAGAGCAATGTCTACGGGCTGGCGGGAGGCGCGGACGGGCGCGGGGAGCTGCTGGCTGCCACCCTTAAAGGCAAGGTGCTGGGCTTCCGCTACCAAGACCTCCGACAGAAAATTCGGCCCGTGGCCAAGGAGCTGCAGTTCAACTACATTCCCGGTGCGTGGCGCAATAGGGCCGGGGTGGGGGTCCTGGATCATGGTGATGACAAGACTTCAGATTCTGAGCCAGGTCACCGTGGTGGGAGAATGGGATCAGTGTGATTGAAGGGGGTCAAGGCTGATAGGAAGCATTGAGTCAGAGGGTAGTGGTAATAGGGGCCTGGAAGTGGTTAGGGTTCAAGATTCCTCACACTCAGAGGTTAGGATCCCTCGTATCATGGTGTTGGTGAGGAGAACTCACTTGGCCCCAGAGGTCATGATAATTTCTGTGGTCAGAGATTACTGCGTCCTAGAGGCCAGTGGTCAGTCTGCCTGAAATGCAGACTTTCAATTGTCCCCTACCAGTGGATGCCGAGATCGTCTCCATTGACACCTTCAACAAGTCGCCCCCAAAGCGAGGCCTGGTTGTGGGGATCACATTCATCAAGGTACCCAGGTCCCCTCCTCCTAACAATGGTGGATCCCCCTGAGTCTAACCCAGATCCCTCTTGCTGCCCCCATTCTCCCCTGAGGCCAGTTTCCTACTCCAGGATTCAGGGGACAAGGGCAGCCCCTTCCTTAACATCTACTGTGACTATGAGCCTGGCTCTGAGTACAACCTGGACTCCATTGCCCGTAAGTGTGGCCTGGAGGGAAGGAGGGATGGGGAGGTGGGGGGGTGCTGTCAGGTACCCCATGCCCGTCTGCCTGTGCTCCTCCTACAGAGAGCTGCCTGAACCTAGAGCTCCAGTTCACCCCTTTCCAGCTGTGCCATGCAGAGTACGTAAGCCGCGGGTGTGATACAGTGGGGTGGAGGGGCCCTAGCAAATGCAATAGTAAACCTGCCCGTAGACAATCAGATTAGTTTTGTTTTTTAGAGCAGCTTGCGTCTAAGGTGACCCTGAATCAGACTGGGCAGGTGGGCTGCCATTTTGTTATCCCTGAACTAAATAATCTGAGTTAATTGACCACCTATGTTCTAGACATCTAGAATTCTCAGGTTCTAACACAGAACCTGAAATGGCAAAGTTTTCTATAGTTGTAAACTCTGAGATTCCAAGATTTGAAAGTTCTGCAGTTTGGTAATTCTGATATTCTGTAAAGTCCTAACATCACAAGGAAATAGAATATAGACTACCTGCAAATACCAAGGTTCTAGAATGTCAAAAGTATGAGAATTCCATTCTAGAGCTCTGAATTCCATTATTCTAGAACACCGATGGTCTAATACAGTGGTTGGTAAACTTCTTCTGTTAAGGGCCCAGTGGTAAATGTTAGACTGTGAGGGCTAGACAGTATGTCACAACTGCTTAAGTCTGCCATTGTAGCAAGAAGGCAGCCTTACCTTGTATAAA